GTGTGTGTAACAACAGTAACAAAACCACTAATCTAATTGTGTGTGTAACAACAGTTACAAAAACCACTAATCTGATTGTGTGTGTAACAACAGTTAAAGAAACCACTAATCTAATTGTGTGTAACAACAGTTACAGAAACCACTAATCTAATTGTGTGTATAACAACAGTCACAGAAACCACTAATCTGTTTGTGTGTATAACAACAGTTACAGATACCACTAATCTAATTGTGTGTAACAACAGTTACAGAAACCACTAATCTAATTGTGTAACAACAGTTACAGAAACCACATAATGGGCTATCTGTGCACTGCCCAATTTGAGCCTTATAAATTCTTTCTATACTTCAAGTTTGTTTGGCTTTGGTGATTTAGGGAGGCTGTGTGTCTGATTCAAGAGACTTCGGTATGATTACCATTGCCACCGAACCAGCTTGCCCTGTCTTTGCTATGACATAGTGAACTAGCTTGCCCTGTCTTTGCTATGACATAGCGAACTTGCTTACCCTGTCTTTGCTATGACATAGAGATCTAGCTTGCCCTGTCTTTGCTATGACATAGCGAACTTGCTTGCCCTTTCTTTGCTATGACATAGCGAACTAGCTTGCCCTGTCTTTGCTATGACATAGCGAATAAAGCTATCTGCTTCTATCACTAATTCACTTGCTGCCAACTTTTATTTTTTCTCATTTTCTTTAACTGCCAACTAAAGGGAAGGCAACTGGCTGGCAGCACCCACTGTCAATATTTTTTTATACAAATTTCTGACTAGTGACAACTGCCATCAACTTTCGTTTTCTTCTTCTTAAACTACTAACTATTAAGAAGGCAGCAACCACCTCCAACGTTTTTTGTTGTTTTTCCTGCTTGTACATACCATGATTTGAGAAAACTTTACTAATCAACTAAAGGCTAATTGTGTAAAGATGTTGTTTTATAATTTTGATAATAATAATCTTAACAGTGTTATGGCAGAAAAGGATCTTCCTTCATGTTCTGGTCAATCAGTTTCATAAGCCATCACAAACAGAGTGCTGTTCCTAGTGATATGGCAAACTAGATTGTAGCTACAGATATAATGAATACAAGTCTAAAGACGTTCATTGTATAGGTAGCTGATTAGGCCACATTCAGAGTGTTGTGGTCCTTCCCTAAGGTAGGACATTCTATCACTGGAAAGAATCCAGAGAAAAGTTACTAAGATGGAACCTGGGATGGAAAGGTTGCTATAAGAGGTTAGGTTAAAAGCTCTGAAATTGTATTCTCTTGAAAAAAGAAGAGACAGAGAATATGTGATTGAAGTATTCAAGATTGTTAAGAGAATTGATAGTGTTGATGCATCATCTTTTTTCGTACTTAATGGTGAAAATGTTACGTCTAGGAAACACAAGCATATTTTTTGGTAGGGTAAGAGTCATCTTCAGTTAAGACAGTTTTATTTTTCTAACAGGGTAGTTGGCCTTTGGAATGGATTGCCTTTAGATGTGGTGGAAGCAGTAAACTTAAGGGAAAGCTGAATAAATATTTGAATAATAAGGGCTGGCTGTAAGTTTTATTTTTTTTATAATAGTTTAATTTGGTGGTTGGTATTGCTTAGATGATCAGAAGATCCGTTGCTGTCCTTAAATGTTTTGTTAGATAAATGCAGAAATACATACATATATAATATTCAGACAACCAACTAATGTTATATTACAAACTTCTTATAAAAGACTTAAAAGATATAAGCCATTAATGTCTTAAATATATATATGTTTAAAATAACTATGAATTTTTCTTGTCTACCTTTTTTCATTAAAAATTCAATTTATAAGTGCTTACAGAAATATTACATGAAACTCACAATGCTATATAGATAAAAAATGCTTACATTTGGAGCATTGTGTGCCCACTTCACACTGAGTTTTTGGGATAAGGCAATTTTCCCATCTAAGGCTTGTAAAGCATGTTCAGCTTGTTGTTTTGTTTCATACGTGACAAAACAATAACCTCGTGGCATTCCTTTTTGAGGCCCAGATTTATGAAAAAGGAAATCAAACTTTCTTATTTTTCCATATTTCTGAAGAGTTTTAATCATCTGATATCTATAAAACAAAAGAGTAGGAAAGAGTAAATAATATTTACTATACGAGATATTATAACAATACCACAAATTAACCAAAAAAACTTTAATATATATATATATACAATTTCACATATGCAATACCAAAATTACATACTGTGCATTTACTGTCTTGAGATGTAAAATTACAAAGTTTATCAAGAGAAATATATTACATTCACAGTAAAAGTTTTTACTGAAATTAAACTGAATTATGACTTATGGTTTCAAAACATACTTAACATTTAGTAGAACTAGGTTAGAACACCCTAAACATTTCCATAAACAAATACCATTACATTCCTAATAAGGCGACCTTCTAAATTTCTAAGCTTCAGGGGTAACACTTTAATTAAAAACTTACTCAGAAATTCTGCTGTCTAAGTTCCCAACCCACAGCCTACTTGCGTTGTCATCAACAGTAGAAGGAGAAGGTTCGAGAGGCAAGGGTAGACTTCCCTCCTTAAATTATGACAAAATAACTCGCGTTTTTACTCAAATCCACTGTGTACAAACGTCACATAAAATATGCTTAAAATATGTATATCCTGAATGAAACGTTTAAACATTTATAAATCTAGAAAGCAAAATATACTGCAAGGTAATCAAGACAATTTTGGATTAAAACAAAAAAATACCAAACAACAAAAATTTATATACTTCTATTTATACTTTAACAAAATTCAGTGCTCATATTGCAGGTGCAAAAAAAAATTAATTTTTAACATTACATTAAAAAGAAGTAGAAAACAATAATAAGACCGAATTCATACCATTCACTACAGGCACATCAAGCCTGTACTGAAAATGTTATATGTTTTTCATAAATTCACTCTTATCTGATGATGTAAAAATGTAGAAACTCTAAACATTGTTTTACAATCTTCGACTTACAAGTTAAGAAAGTCTTAGTGTGTTTAAAATGTGGCTTGTTTTGGAGTATTTCTGTGACTCAAAAGTTATAGAAAAGAACAAGAAAGAAATAAACCTAACTTTAAAAATGAATCACAAAAATGTGTTTGATAATATAACACTTGCAGACTTTCTGAATTATAGCTCCTACACTTCTAACCAAGTTTCAAACAAGATTGAAATTCTGCTGGTACTCACCAGTGCTGAGTAACAGAACTTATTTCTTAAGGCAGTGGTAGTACCAGGACATGCTTATTTCTTAAGTCAGTAGTAGTACCAGGACATACTTATTTCTTACATCAGTAGTAGTACCAGGAGTAGTAGTACTGGGACATACTTATTTCTTAAGTCAGTGGTAGTACCAGGACATACTTATTTCTTAAGTCAGTAGTAGTACCAGGACATACTTATTTCTTAAGTCAGTAGTAGTACCGGGACATACTTATTTCTTACGTCAGTAGTAGTAGTACCGGGACATACTTATTTCTTACGTCAGTAGTAGTACCGGGACATACTTATTTCTTAAGTCAGTAGTAGTACCAGGACATATTTGAACTGCCTTTCTGGATGCACGTGCATTCCATTGTTCTGTCAGAAAACATGTATTTATGGACATTCAAATTTCCATTGTTTATGTTTACACACAGATTTATTTATTTGTTCAAAAACTGAGTACCTCTATTTTTTGTTTTTGAGAACTTCGCCCCTGGTTTCAAGCAATATTATATGTAGTATCTATGTTCTCAAGCATCCAGAATATCAGTTTTCAGCTCCTCTTTATATCTAGCTTTGAAACAAGATTACAAATCAACTAATAACATATACTAATTTACATGTGACAAAACAAAAGCCTCAGTGTTACCCAGTGCCCATCATTTTGTCTTATGATGAAGACAGTATTAGACTATTAATTCTACCAGAGGTTTGAATTGGCATTATATATACAAACAAACTCGAGAGAAAGTTCACCAACGCAACAGAGGAAGAAGTAGACTAGTCCGAATGTACAATAATTAACAAACTTCCTCATTATTTCTAAACAGCTTTTACTGGAACACAAAACAATAAACAGTTTGCATGCTTTACAAACTTACTGAAGCTTTTTGATATGGCTTAGTACAGTCTAGCGTGATTTTTTAATTCACAAATATTAGGTCTATTAAATCCTATGATTTACTAGCTTTTGTGTTTTAAAACCACATGATAAATAAAAGATACAGATACAGTATAAATCTGAAATGCTATTTTCTTTAATAGTCTTGTATCTCAAATATACTAACACGTATGTATTTTTACATGTACTTAGGCATACTGTGTATGTGTGTGTATACATACGTGATATCAAGGGTCTATTTTGACCCATCAGAGATATCTTCAATACTAAAATAACTCAATAAACAGTACACTAATCAAGTCCTGATAGTCCAAATTTACATCAATTGTTTTCTTAAACAGATTTATAAACTTACTGCAGAAATAAAACTGCAACCTACTGTATGAAAATGAATGACCAGAGTACATTAATGTGTTGATAGTTTACACTGTGGATGGTTATCATCCAATCAATCAGTCAGTCAGTCAATGGTGCATCAGCAAAATGCCTATAAAAATATAGAACAGAGCTGGGCAATTAACTCAATTACCTATTAGCATTGATAAGATCAATTAATGTTGCATAAAATAATAGATTAATAAACCTGTTCTTTTGTAATTATCCATTAACCTATACTTCCAATACTTTCTAACTCTCAAGTCCTTCTTAAAATAAGGAACCCAAAATTGAACACAATATTCTAAATGGGGCCTAACCAGTGATTTGTACAAAAGAATCATAACCTTCTTTAACTTATATTCCTGTATATACTACCTATACTTGTTTTATACTGGCAATAACACACTGTCTGTAAGAATTAAAAGACAGATTGATCAAAACATCAAGATCCTTTTCTTCCATAATAAAACTCACAACCAATTACACCCAAAATTTTAAAGGGGCAAACACTAAGTGAAGCAAAGTGTACTTCATTTGAGACATAACAGGAAATGTCATGACATTATATCTTGTAATTCGTGTTCTTTTTTTTAGGTTGGTAATCATTATGTAAGTAAGCTTCAGATACTAGAGAACATGGGGAAATGAAACATCTCTTAATTGTTCAAATCTCTTTCCGTAGCCTTGTGCCCAACCCCTTTATTATCATTAGCAAACTTGACCAATTTATTGACCTTTCCTTTATCAATATCATTAATGTGAACCCAAGAAAAAAAAAAGTCCCAGCACAGAGCCCTGGGGTAATCCACTTACAACTCCAGTCTAGTTTACTGGAATTTAATTTATTACAACCCTTTTTTTTTCTCCTCAATGATTAATCCATTGAGCTGAGTTACCTCCCTCACCCACAGAGATAATTTTCTTTCCTAGTCTTCAATGTTGCACCTTGTCAAAAGCCTTCCAAAAATCCAGGTTTACCAAACCCACACCTTTACCCTTATCAACATAATCAATTACATATTTGAAGAAGGTCAAAAGATTTGTGAGACAAGATTTTTCCTCACTTGAAACCATGTTGCCTGTCCAACAATAGGGCATTTGAAAAGTTGGCATTTAGAAAATGATATCATTTATAAAAGAAGTTTGCATGCTTTACAAACTTATTTAAACCTTCTCAGAGCTTAGCACAGTCTAGCATGATTTTTTATTCACAAATATTAGGCCTTATGGTATTATTGCTTCACCAGCTTTCGTCGTTTAGATCTATAGCATTTTAGATGGACTTTTTGGCTCCTATCACTGTCAAGCACAGCTGAAAAGTTCTGGTATTAAACAAAAGGTTTCCTGTGCAATTCCTTGTGGTAGATCAAAGATAAAAGTTGTACAAATCTCAAATGCTATTCTTGCATATTTCTCATCTGAAGTTCATAATAGACTAACTAAGAGGATGCTAAAAGAAACAAAAAACATCAATGTGTAGCATTAGTAAGGTGACTGAATTATTATAACTTGATGTAAAATATTAGTTGTGAATAGTAAATGTGTTATATGATAAAAAGTAAATAGCAGGAGGTAAGTGGACATTAGTTTTTCAACTAGAATAAAATGATTACTTGAGCAGTTGGACAAGTATGCTCTCGCAATTGTATATGTGTGGGGGGTGGACCAAAAAAGGGGGACCCATAAGGCCTGCCAAACTTAAGAATTGACAACAAGGGGAATAAATACAGGGGGCCCAATTACATTTTATGTGGGGGCCCATTTCTTATAGCAGTGCTTCTTAACCTTTTCCAATATCATTCACCCCAATAAGATTTTCACAACAGCTCACTCACTCCACTTTAAAAAAAAGACAAATAAGTACGAGAATTGATATTATTCAACTATTAGACAGGCCTATTTTACTTAATCTTCTTGAAGCAAACTTTGTCATACCATGGTGTTGTAATAATAAACACAACTAGATGTTGAAGGCTTGTTTTACGAATGAAGAAATGACAGAATGTTTTACTATGCATGAAAAATCATGTTTTAAATATGTTTCCCAACAATCATTTATAAAGACCCCCCATCACCCATCTGAAAAGCAGTTTTATAGTTATTCCACTGTACTTTGGTCACCCAAAAGCTTTTTTTATTTTCCACTAACAGTTATTAGCTATGTATTAACAATCGAACTGCAATGATTATAAGTACACCAATAATATTATAATTCTGAGAAAGCTGATACTGTTAGCGTAAATACTAACAGTAACACTGGGTTAGTACAGTTGGCCACTGACAGGACATACTGTACATTTTGTTGTAGTATTACTATTACTAATAATAGTGCCAGTAGCAGCACTGTCAAGAGTGAAATAATAATTAACGTTAATACAACTAAGCCGTTAACTATTATTACTATTACGTATTATATCATATATATATATAATAAAATTAATATAATTTAAATTTAAATTAAGTATAAGACAGTTCTCAACAAATTCAAATTTACAATTTTCACATACCATAACCAAAATGCTCATATCTTACTACTCCAACAGAAAATTTAATGTTCTGCTATTCAAACTCAATAGAATTTTTTTTCTAGGAAAAAATGTCTGTATAATTTTCAAGCGAATATCTAAACTCTAACAATAACATTAAATAGCACTTCGAAAATGTAGTTTTCTTAGCCGGTAATGACGTTACGATCATAATGACGACATTGTGACGGTTATCCGTTAGAGCAAATAATTAAAATATTGCTAATTTTACAAACTCGTATATTTCTTTCAATAAAATATGTGATTAAGTAACAATATTTAATTAAGTAAGAAAACAGTAAAATCTGCACCTTTCTCTCGTTGTATTGGGTAAAAAACCGTGTAATATTCTTTGACGGTAATGACATTTTATGGTTATACAGACTACATTTTGTGACGTCTATGCGTTCAATGACACAAATTGTCAGTTCAGAACATAGTTAATATTGTTCGTGCAAATTTATACAATGGGGTATCTGCATTTTGTTTAACATTTTAAGCCCGTAAATTTAACCCACCGAAGAGACGACATACCTATTAATTTTTAATGTTATAGTAAGTTATTTTAACATGCACATCCCGAGCCAGAGGGACGTATTTTTGGTTGCGAAAAAAAAAAACACCCCATTGCAGCATTTGTTGTACTGTTTTGAAAATTTGTAAGCGTTTTGATTGGTCAAAAAGGATGCGTTTAGCATACTATTTAGGCCGGTGACAGACCCCGTCACCCATATGAAGACACTAAAGTCTTGATATAAAGTTGTACTATGGAGAAGTTAACTTGTAAATGCAAGCTTCTTAAATGCGCTTCGTGTGTAAAATGCAGTCACTGTGGATATTCTTGTGATGTTTTGTCACCCACCAAATACAAAGTTACATCGTAAATGTGGGGGTAAGCAACTAATTGCAAGTGAAGCACCGATTGCACTACGAACAAGAGGAGTAGGAAAAAGTAATGTTTGTGATGAGAATGAGATTGAATGTTGGGATTGTTGTGATGCTAATGAATATCAGGATGGTGTTGATGATAATACGATTGAATCTTTGGTTTCGAGTGGTGCTGATAGAATTCAGGATAACCTTGATGTAAGTGCTGCTCCTGTTTCTTGGAAATGGTATAGAAGTCATAAACGGAAAGCTCCAACAGTGGTTTTCGTGATTATTTTGGTTTAGATTCCAACTCAACTAATAACGCAGAAGTATGCCGATAGGTTGGACCTCCCATGGGAGACTGAAATTCTTCAATACGTCACTGCCTTAGTAACGCAGTGTAAGAAGCATTGGTCCATCCAGATTGTTCACAGAGGCATTCAGAATCCCTTTAGAAACACCTTGGTAAATATAGTTGCTGAATCAGGCTTCACAACTACACCAATAGTGGCTTGGACAAAATTTAACATAATTCATATAGGCGATAAGGAAATTGCCACTTATCCAGCTGATGCTAAGGTTAAATCGTCTCTCAATTGAAGATTAAACATAAAAATCAAAACAATATGAGAATGCAAAGCATCAATCAAGATTAAACTACTGGTTAAGTCCCTTATCTTTGTTTACTAACAGGTTTCGTAGTATCTGGTACTGTTCTAGTAGTGCATTCAATCACTTGTACTGTCGTCATTTGTTTTTAAACCTCAAAAACAAATACACAGATTTATTTCTCATGATTAGTTAAACTCTAAAAACGCCTCTTTGGACATTTCCGCATTGACACGTTTCAAACAATCCTCACGTTAGTATTTAAGAAAGCTACCATAAGTCATGAGGGATGTATTAAAACTATTAAATTTTACAAAGGTCTAAATTATTTATTTATGCAATAATGATAATAATTAGTGTAAATAATTTTCTGTAACATTAAGAAATTATGATGAAATAGTTTGTTTGTTTTGAACTTCGCGCAAAGCTACACGAGGGCTATCTGCGCTAGCCGTCCCTAATTTAGCAGTGTAAGACTAGAGGGAAGGCAGCTAGTCATCACCACCTACCGTCAACTCTTGGGCTACTCTTTTACAACGAATAGTGGGACTGACCGTTACATTATAACGCCCTCGCGGCTGAAAGGGCGAGCACGTTTGGTTTGAGAGGAATTCGAATTCGCGACCCGCAGATTGCGAGCCGAGTGCCCTAACCACCTGGCCATGCCGGGCCTGATGAAACAGAAGCGAAATATACAGAATAGAATTAAAATAATTCTAAAAAACAAACAAAGTTACATGATCCAGGAAACTATAGACCAATAATCTTACGCAACTATGTTGGGATTATTGGAACAAAATAGTAGCTAGAAGATTGTTACTTAATATAGAAATAAGTGACAAACCGCAAACCACTTAGTCCGCCAAATAGTGCGAGTAATTTTGATTTGAAACGTTTAAAGTTTAGAATTAAACGCAACCGGGGGTGTTTAGAAAACTTTTTCTCTTGGTTTCCATTCGTGATAAGAGAGAATTTGGAATGGCTACAAGAAAGAAAACAAAAACGACCTGATGATTTTGAGGAGCAGAATGATGGTTTGGCAGAAAGCAAAACGCAGAGGGAAACCACAGACGGGTTGAACAAAACCAACGACTGATGTAGGACTTATGGTCCTTCAGAACGGTAGGAGATCTATAAATCCAATGCCTAGAATTAGATGTGGGGAGAACCCCGAGAAAATCTACCACTTATTACGATTAAACGAATCCATTTATAAAGAGTTCAACGTATAACACACTACTATAGCGGCATTCCTAGATGTTCAGAAAGTCTCTGGTTCAGTTTGGCACAAAGGCCTACTTTTCAAACTTTTCAAATTTAACACACCAAGCATTTTCATGAGATGAACGTCAAGCATTTAACAACATCGATCAGCTAAAGTCAAAGTCGACAGGCCCGGCATGGCCACGTGGTTATGGAGATTGACTAGCAATCTGAGGGTCGCGGGTTCGAATTCCCGTCCCTCCATACATACATACTTGTCCCTTCAGCCTTGGGGGGAGTTATAATGTGACGGGCAATACCACTATTCGTTGGTAAAAGAGTAGCCCAAAAGTTGGCGGTGGGTGGTGATGACTAGCTGCTTTCCCTCTAGTCTTTCACTGCTAAAAAAGAAAAGGTCCAGCCTTCCAAAGTGCTCAAGTTATAGCGTTTTTATTATCTTGTATCAAGACTTCTTGAACCTACGTTTTTTATTGATATTGTTGCGTCAGCGAGTCATATGACGCCACGTTTCT